TCCTCTCCCCTGCGGGGGATTCCTCAAGAGATAGATCTATATAGAGGGATCAGGACCTCCTTCCTCCTGCTGGGGACCCCTCTAGTGATAGATCTATATAGGGGAATCAGGACCTCCTTCCTCCTGCTGGGGACCCCTCTAGTGATAGATCTATATAGAGGGATCAGGACCTCCTTCCTCCTGCTGGGACCCCTCTAGTGATAGATCTATATAGAGGGATCAGGACCTCCTTCCTCCTGCTGGGGATCCCTCTAGTGATAGATCTATATATAGGGATCAGGACCTCCTTCCTCCTGCTGGGGACCCCTCTAGTGATTGATCTATATAGAGGGATCAGGACCCCCTTCCTCCTGCTGGGACCCCCCTAGTGATAGATCTATATAGAGGGATCAGGACCTCCTTCCTCCTGCTGGGGACCCCTCTAGTGATAGATCTATATAGAGGGATCAGGACCTCCTTCCTCCTGCTGGGGACCCCTCTAGTGATAATAAAGATCTATATAGAGGGGTCAGGACCTCCTTCCTCCTGCTGGGGACCCCTCTAGTGATAACTCCACCTTTCGGGGGCAGGACATGTAAAAGTTTAATACGTCTGACAGATTCCGGCTGCAAGGACCTCGAGTCACACATCACTCACCTGTAGAATCCGCTTTCCAGACGTTTGCGCATGGTACTCAGGTCCGTAGGATAGGCCACCACCGTACAATAGAGGGGATATGCGCTGAGGTCCACCGGAGCGCTGAACGGACTGGCAAAATCTGACGGCACAGACATTTCAGTTATTAACTTTATAATAAAAGATATAAAACGTAACAAAAATGTTACAAAGCAGATCTCCGGGCAGATAAAACAAACACACAAATAATTCAGCTCTGTATAAATCATCATATTATATATTTACATACAAGGAGTGGAAGAAGTATATGAATCTGACTGATCCGCATCTTGCAGTCCCAAGGATGTTACTGCTGAAGGGACAACTCCATATTAATGTCCAATCAGGGGGAAGAGGGGGTAGGGCCAAACTCCATTATAATAGGCATGGTTTTGGAATGGGGGGTGTCCAATAATCTGATATACACCGAGTGGCCGGATTATTATATACACTGAGTGGCCGGATTATTATATACACCGAGTGGCCGGATTATTATATACACCGAGTGGCCGGATTATTATATACACCGAGTGGCTGGATTATTAATAATCCGGCCACTCGGTGTATATAATAATCCGGCCACTCGGTGTATATAATAATCCGGCCACTCGGTGTATATGTGTGATGGTGGGGGGTACACAGACCTATACTGCGCTGGAATAACCAGAAACCGCATTTCCGTTAGTTATGGAATAAGAAGCGACAATAACACACCAAGCGTCAGCAGCTGGTCGATTCCTCGGATGACTCGCTCGCAGACCTCATCTCTGGATTGCGACCCCCACTCTCCCTCCTCCGGTTTATACTGCAGAGCTTTCAGCTCCTCTGCTGTGACCGGGACCCCGGCACCGACCTCGTCTGGCAGAGGTACTGCAAAGGAACAGAAAGGGAACGTTCTGTAATAGGGAATATTTATCAGAAGGAACAGAACGCAGAGCACGCGGAGACAATGCGCACGACACGAGCGGCTGCTATGCGTTCTCTGCGCGGCCTCCGGGAATGGCTGACAGATAAAAGGGAAGTCTTACTGTCATCAGGAATGGGCTCCATGTCCCAGGGGCTCATGTTCTCACGCTCGTTGTTATCCCAGCTGTAATGAAGAAACAAAATATTAAAACTTACATGTCACCATCAGCACAGAGTAATCACACGAGGCCCCATGAATGTGCAGACATGAGGTTCCATACCCTGCGCCCAGATCTCAGACGGCCCCATATGCTCCCCAATATCTCCGACGGCCCCATACGCTGCCCCAATATCTCCGACGGCCCCATACGCTGCCCCAATATCTCCGACGGCCCCATACGCTGCCCCAATATCTCCGACGGCCCCATACGCTGCCCCAATATCTCCGACGGCCCCATACGCTGCCCCCATATCTCCGACGGCCCCATACGCTGCCCCCAGATCTGCGACGGGCCC